ATGGTTCTCTGGTTTCTACAGGACTTTGTTTCAATCCCACTTTCTAGCTTAACCCTGGGTCTTTACATTCGATCCATTTGGATGGATCCCAGCATGAGCAGAGTTAACAGTTATGCACAGAAATCCTGGTGGGTGGGTGGGGTGGGGGCAGGAGAGTGGCAGGGGCACCCGACCGACTTGGAGAAACACTGAAGTAACCAGGTCTTGGAGTAGGCTGCAGAAATAGCAGAAGAGGCAAACACACACATGGCACACAAATAATCCTCAGCCATCAATGTTTAATCAGCACAGGAAGTACAGTCCCTCCCTCATCACCCACCACCAAGAACCCCAGCAACTAGCCCTGTCTCCCCATATCCGTGTCTGGAGAGTTGTCACAACCTGGCAGGGTCACTGGGAAGCCCCGCCCCCACATCCCCACTGCCCCCTCCGTGGTGTGAGGACACACACAGATCCAGGGACGGAGCACGAAGTCCCTGCACTCAGACATCCCCGGGGTCCTTTGCAGAAGCTCCGCCTCCAGCCAGAAGCAAGTTGGGTGAGAAATGGTAATGAAAGAGTTTATATCAAAAAGTCCTGATGTCCCTTTCCAGTCCCACAGGACGGGACCGAGGTGCACTCTGAGAGCTAGCATAACTCCAGGGGAAAGGAAGGGGGTCCCTGGGAGGGGCCATCACCAAGCTGACGTTTAGTTGGAGCTGAAAGATGGCCCCCTCCTGCTCCCGCCTGCCTGGTTTCCTTCCTCTTGACACACCCCCCTATGCAAACCGCACAGATCTGGCACCAGAGCAGACTCCTACTACAGAGGGGGCGCAAAGGGGACCATTGCTGAGGACCACACTCTCCAGGCCACGCTGGATGGTGGGACTGAGGTCCCCGCAGACCACGCCGCCTTGGGAACGACTCACACCTGTAAGGAGACACCGGATCAGAATTTTTCCATCCCAGGCAGGGCACAGCCCAGGGTTTTCTTTGAAATGATGCATTCTCACTCCACCACCCCACCCCAGCCTCAAAGACATGAATCTTTCGAAACTTCAAAGTGAAACCCACTGCTATTTGCTTCTTGAAAGAATATGGTTAGCAAAGTGAATGCCTAGACCAACTGGAGCTAGTTGACATTGGACCGGTGTTTCTACCATCTCCACTCACAGTGGAGGAATTATCTAGAAAAGTGGTTTCTGGAGAGGGAGAGGGAATCGACTGAGACCTCTCTTGGGACTATATATTCAACATAAAAATTTAAGAGACGACTTCAGGATCCCTACAGAATACACGTCTAGAGGCTTTTCTTATTGTATCACTGTCATCCCATTGATCGTCGAATTACTCGAGAGGGCACCTGGAATATTTCTATTCCTCCCAGCCCTGAGATTTTAGCAGCCTCTTCTTACTCATCTTTTCCCAACGATTGGAGGCTCTTTCAAGGTCAGGGGAATGAGACCTGTTGTCTTTACTGTATTTGTCATATCGAATACGCCACAGGGAGCTTGCCAGGCTCTACCCATGCAGGCAGGATACTCTGTAGCTTGCCAGGTTCTCCGAGAGGCATATATTTATATATATTTTATCTATGATTTGTTGCCTACTGTCTGAATCCCATAAGATATGGTGTAGTAACTGTGGAAAATGGGTAGGAAGTGTGTTATAATGTGTCCGGAAAGTGTTCTGGAGCGTGGCAGTGGTTGGGTAGTGAAGGTCAGCTGCCGGGGCTGGGTCCCTTGGGCTGAAGAGGGCTCTCACCTGCCCCACAGCCTGGCATGGAGTCCCTTATTATATCACTAGATACAATAAGTGTTTATTACTTAAGAACCATTCTCTGTGTGACTGAGTATCTAACCAGTGAAGGGAGTTGTAATTTCCACATCTCTTAGCCGAGGCTTCGTGGATGTTCCAGATGCATCCACACAGGGCCACCCATATGCCCACATCCCAGAGACCTCAACTTCTATCTCCCTCACTTAGTGCCCCCTGGGAAGAAGGTCCATCACCAACTAGATGCAAGCCAAAGAACCGTGCCTACACAGCCCCCCACACATACAAACACACAACTTACAGATGTTGACCGAGCCCACTCCTTCACACAACCTGCAAGGAAAGGAGACAAAGTGTGAGAACCGAGCTCCTCTGCTCTGTGGTGAGTCAGTCCTCCTCCCAGCCGGAAGGACGGGAGCAGAGGTGGGTGGCTGGGAGGGCAGCCCACAGCATTAGTGTGGGTACCACTCCCAGAGACTCCAAAACGGCAGGGAGGATCAAATCACAGCGTGCAAAAGGCCACTCTCTGCCTTGTTTGCTTCTCAGCCAAGGAGCTGCATTGGACTGAGAGGTAGAGGCAGGGCAGGTAGGCGTTGCCCTCCCCGGCCCCCTCGCGGGAACATCAGGAAAGCCGTTGATTTGGTCAGTAATGGGAGCAACCCATGGCCCGTCTGGATACCTTTGGGAAGGGAGCTGGTGTATGTATCACCCCAGCGAACTCCTTTTTTGAGGGAAATGGGCATGGATGGGACTCAAGAGCATATAGGCGAAATGGGCTCTTCCCCAAGCTGCCCGCACAGCCCTCGGGAGTCACATTCCCGCATGGCTAGAGCTGATGGGTCGATGTCACCACATGGCAAAGCCAGAGGGTGGCTGGGGGCTGCGGTGGTTCGGCATGTGGAGTCACCTGTGGTCATGTCAGCCTGTGCCACTCACTGACCAGGCGACCATGGGCCAGTCACCTAACTTAGGTCCTAATCAGAAAGTGGGATAATAATACGTGCTCAGGGGACTGTCTGGAGGCTCAATAGACCACCACCTGGAGAGTCCCTAAAATAGCGCCTACTCAGCTCAGATAGAGAAGGGAGCACCAAATAAAGGGTGTTGGGAGGTTCCTCTCAGGATGGGAAATGCGTGATGAGAGTAGACTATAGACCAAACATGATTGCCACTCAGTGGCAAATCACAGCACTCAAAAGGAGAGAGATAACAAAAGGGAATGCCCTGCCACAGAGGCTGGGTAGGATGGGGGGGGGGGGGAATGGGGGTGAGAGGGATACTGGGATCCGTGGTGGTGGAAAATGGGCACTGGTGGAGGGATGAGTATTTGATCATTGTATAACTGAAACCCAAGCACAAAAATTTGTAAGTCTACAACTGTACCTTATGGTGTTTCACTAATAAAAATTTAAGAAAAAATAAAATAAAATAGAGCCTACTTAGGAAAGCCAGCAGACACATTCACCGTTGGCACTGTCAATGGGGAGACGTTTGTAGTGTAGCTCTGGGTTCCTCAGCAACACTCGCCTCTGCCTTCACTTGTCCTTCTGCATTTTCCCTTCCTGCATCCCCCGTCCCGCCCCTTCCCTCTCCGCCGCTCACTGACGGCGTGACAGTGAGTCACCTCTCCTCTTGCTGCATCCTCTGCTGCGGGGCCCTGAGCTTCACCTCTTTTTCTCCAAGAAAGCGTTCTCACGTCACCTGCCTGCCTGAGCCCCCCCCACCCCCCCACTGCCCCATGCTCTACAACTCTTCTCTGAAGAGGAGCTCCAGGCTCACTGTGCTGTCACGTGAATCCACCATGCCCTAGGAACTGTGCCCTTCCAGAAGATTCTCATCTGTTTCCACCCTGGCACCAGATGGGCCACTAGGCTAGCAACAGAGATGGGGCGGTGGGTGGGCTGCTTTTATTTCTGATTTTCTGTGATGGTCATTTTTTTGGACAATCTATTCAAACCCGCTCCAAGCTAAGAGCAGCCTTAATCTGCAAAGCACAAAACACTTTCAACTGCCTCTTCCAAGTTCAGGTGCCTCGTTCATTACAGGACCGAGTTGCCAATGCCCTAATGATGGTCACTGCATGGAGAGGCAGTGTCATCCGTGACCAGTGCCTGTGTGATGCTGTTGAGTGGAGCCAACCACTTGGTCAGATTCCTCAGCTGCCCTGGGTTCTAGGGAGCCTCTGCCCACCCCAATAGAGATAGTCTCTTTCAGAACCTCCTCACCCCCTGTTCACCAGGTTTCACTAACTCGTTTCATCCTTCAAACAGCTTTCACAGGACAGTTTGGTTTGTCCTGTATTTAAAAGAGCCCACCAAGGCATAGAGAGGTACAAAGAGGGCGCAGAGAAAGCTGGTTTACACCCATGACATGAACCTACAGACTCTGGTCGCTTGGACGGGACCAGGTCAGTGGTTCACAGTGAGAAGCCACCTCTGCAGCCCAAGGAGTCCTCCCCGGCTAACTTCCCCTGCCCCCTATTCTTGGGGGCTCAAGCTATCAGCACAGCCTGAAGTGCCCTAGTCCTTTTCAGCCAGCTCTTCTTCTGTCCCTCACAGCTTCCCAGTGGGGTCACCAACCTAGTCCCTGGAAGCTCCTTGCCTGCCTCTGTCCTGCCTGGCTGTTCTGTTCGTTTCTGTCCTGTCACCCTAAAATCACCCTGCCTGGTGGAGGAGACAGAATTCCTCTCCCATTCATTAAGTCCAACAGCCTTTAGTGAATCTTCTAAATGACCCCCACTGTAAAACCCCCTAAAAAATAAATCACAGAAACCTCTTTGCAGGCATCAGAAGGAAAGCAGCTGCCTGGAAGAAGCTGGAGGGGCAGATCGAGGGGAATTGCAGGTGGAGACAACAGTGGAAATCCCACAGATAGCTCAGAGGAGAGCCTGCTTTGCCAGCTTAGAGTTGTGACTTCAGTCCCCGGCCCTGCCCCACATCCACCAAGGACAATCCCAGCAGCTGTGACATCTGGGATCCTTCGTGCCACAATAAAGTGTATTACCCCTGATCATCACAACAAAAGGGAGGTGTATGTGTGTTTTTTTTTTAATTCCTGGAATGCTAGCCAGGAAATTTATGTTGTTTTAGCTGAGTCCCTATCTGTGGACGTGGGTCTCCGCTTCCCTCTGTAAATGAGGAATGACTGTGCCCCTAGTTGCCCTGAGTCTTCCTGGGTTCAAAGGCTGCCTGCCTAGAAGCTTCTAGTCTGGTCTTGAGGTGGAGAAGTGTCCCTGTGCCGTGTTCTCACCGGCTCTCCTCGCCTTCCAACAGTTTGCGGTAGGTGGCGATCTCCACGTCCAGGCCCAGCTTGGAGTTCATCACCTCCTGGTACTCCTTGAGCAGGCACGCCATGTCCTGCTTGGCCTTCTGCAGGGCCTCCTCCAGGCCGGCCAGCTTGCAGCGGGCATCTGTGAGGGCTGCCTCGCCCTGCTGCTCTGCCTCGGCCACGGCCGCTTCAAGCTTGCAGCGCTGGGAGTATAGGAAGCAAGGAGGACGTTGGAGGGGTGCCCTGCAGACCACCCAATTCCACCCCCCATTACAACAGTCAACTCGGACATTTAGTCAGAGGGAAATAAGAGTCACTTGGAGCTTCTCCTCTTTGATTTTGTGTCATGATACAGAGTGACAAGCTCAAATCCATGGCAGGCCATTAGGAGGAAGGAATGTTAGCCATCCAGGGAAGATGATAAATACGGGGTTACCTGGCACAGATTAACCCTGTCCGTTGACGAGACACTTTCCTAGGTGTTGTTTTAATGGACCGTCCGGTTACTTTTGGACTTGTCAGAGCAGACTGGTGATGCAGAAAGTGAGAACCCATGGCTTCCCAGAGCCACTCCATTAATGAATGCTGGCACAGAGGTCAGTGTATGCCCCGCCCCCCCCCCAAGCTAGACAAGGAGTGACTCCTGAGCACAGAGCAGGAGTAAGCCCTGAGCACCCCCAGCTGCAGGCCAAAACCAAAGAAACGAAAATGGTGTTGGCGAGAATCTGAAGGAACTAGAATCCTCACACACAGCTGGTGGACAAGCAATCGGATGACATTGCCATGGAGAACAGTCTAGTGGCCCCTCAAATATTAAAAGTACCATGACCATGTGATCCAGCACTCCTGCTTCCCGGTATTTATCCAAAAAAAGTGAAATTCAAACCCTCTGCCCACCAAAAACAGAAGAAAAATATATCTCTCGTGTAAAATCACATGGAGACATATGTAAGAATATATAAAATGCTCATGATACAACTGGTTCAAAGACTTGGAAACTAAGTATTCATCAATAGGAGAATTAATAGGAAACTGGATTCTGAATATAATAGAATCCGTACAAAGAAATATTAAAAGAGGGAAATGCTAACAATATGCATGGATCTCAAAGACACAACACCTATGGAAATGGGAAGAACCAGAAGGAGGGTAAAAGAACAGTACCCGCGTTTAAATTTATAACGTTAAAACATGTATGTCCAAGTATATATAGCACATCGGGTAGGGCGTTTGCCATGCATGCAGCCGACATGGCTGACCTGGGTTCGATTCCTCCGCCCCTCTCGGAGAGCCCAGCAAGCTACCGAGAGTATCTCGCCCACATGGCAAAGGCTGGCAAGCTACCCGTTACGTATTCAATATGTCAAACACAGTAGCAACAAGTCTCACAATGGAGACGTTACTGGGCCCGCTTGAGCAAATCGATGAACAGGAGGGCAGTGACAGTGACAGTGATATGCAAGAGAGATGGGCCATAAAGACATAAATTATGTCTTTATGTGCTCAGGACATACAGAGGAATGATGTGAAGGAGAAAGGAGCCAACGACTGTAAATTAGAAAAAGTGCGTATTGAGGTAGAGTGCCTGGGGGTCAGGGTGAGATGGGGTCAGTTCCGGTCTGTGGGTCCCATCAGGAGAGATGCAGGTACAGCCCCCTGGGAGGAGGAAGACAAAGTGACCCAAGAAGCAGGGGCCTGAACGGGGTCTCAGGGCTGGTGCCAACCTGCTGCTTGGCATTGTCCACCTCCGCCGTCAGTCTCTGGATCAAACGGTTCAGCTCATTGAGCTCCTCCTTCGTCCTGCGGAGGTTCTCACCCTGCCGGGTCACTGTGGTCTTCATCTCCTCACACTAGGGGGTGAGCAACAAACACGAGGGATGTGGGGGACACACATGCCTGTGAAATGCCCAGTGTGTGTACTGGGCACTGCCACACCTCTCCCTTCAGTCCCTTCTCCTCCCTGAGCTGCCTAAACCTTAGCAACAGCCCGGCTGCATGCACGGAGCCTTTCCCAGGGAAGCGCCATGCCCACAGCCACTCTCCCCACCCAGGGGGGTGCAGCGCAGCCCTCCAGGTCACCTTAGTTTGGTACCAGGACTCGGCTTCAGCCCGGCTGCGGCTGGCAACGTCGTCATACTGTGCCTTGATCTCAGCCACAATGGAGTCCATGTTGAGATCCCGGCTGTTATCCATCCTGACCACCACCGACGTGTCCGAGATCTGAGACTGAAGGAGTTGGATTTCCTGCGGAAACAACCGCGGTGCCCTTGGTGCCGGATTCCCCTGGGTTTCCCTCAGCATGTCACTGCCACTGTCACTGTCCTCCCGTTGTTCATCGATTTGCTCAAGCAGGCCCAGCAACGTCTCCATTGTGAGACTTATTGTTAATGTGTTTGGCATATCGAATACGTCACGGGGAGCTTGCCAGAAGCCTTTGCAAATAAATCAGAAAGAACTGGCCAGTTTCAGACAGAACCAGAGTAATAGGACAGTGGGTAATAGGAGCTGGCCTGGCACACGACCAACCTGGGTTTGATCCCCAGCACTGCCTGTGGTCCCCCAAGTGCCACCAGGAGTGCAGAGAAAGGAGTAAGTTCCAAACACATCTGCGTGTGGTCCTCCCAAAACATAAAATTAAGCGTAGCTTTAAGAGGAAAAGGCTGGGACCTGGACCATGGGGACAAAGCAAGGAGGAAGGTAGCATCCACCCTGCCTGGGTCTCCAGAGTCTGGCGGACACCAACTGGTTCCAGAGCCTGAGCTCTGCTGAGAGCAGCCCAGCAGAGAGACAGGCTGTGGCCGGTTTCCACCTGAGTGGAGACAGTAGCTCTGTCCGTGGAGCTGGGCCTATGCCAGCCGTTCGCCATGCCCTGCTGTGACATCTCGGGGTCTCTGGCCCTGATCCCCCATCTTTCCAATGCAGGGGTCCTCCAGCTCCCTCATTGGAAGGAACATCAATCAGAAAGAACCGTCTCTGGTCACCAAAGGCTTCTCAGGAGCTCAAAGAAGAAGGGAGGGGTGAACAACCCACCCTCGGACCAGGGGTGCAGAGTACAGCCCCCAGCATTCCTCCCTCGTGTGAGACTGTGAGACTCACCTCCTCATAGAGGGACTGCAGGAAGCCCATCTCCTCCTTCAAGGCCTCCACGTTGGCCTCCAGGTCGGCCTTGCGCAGGTAGGCGCAGTCAATGTCCTGGAGGAGAGAGACAGAGATGATGGGAGAGGCAGGTCCCCCCGCCCCTGCTGCAGGGTCCTCACCCTCTCCGGGAACCTGCAGCCACTCCTGGTCACCCCTGTGTATCCAGGCTGACCGGGACTCCCTTTCTTCCTCTCCATATTCAGGGAGAAGCAGAGTCTGTTTTTTTGTTTCTTTGTTTCATTGTTTCTTGGGTCACCCCAGGCAATGCTCAGGGGTTCCTCCTGGCTCTGCACTCAGGAATCACTCCTGGAAGTGCTTGGAGGACCATATGGGATGCTGGGGATCGAACCCAGGTCGGTTGCGTGAAAGGCAAGCACTCTACCTGCTGTCACCGTCCCCCAGAGAAGCATGAGCCAGGCTGCCTGGGTTCTGAGGGGGGACAGGCCCCCCAGTCCTGCAGAATCGGACCCTGCTGAAGCTCAGTCTAATATCGCCAGCTGTCAATCTGCCACCATCACGTCAACTGGCCCCTACAGTTGGGACCGTGTGACTGTCGAGAGTCACGGGGCCCTGTCCTCCTCAGGTCATCCTTAGTGCTCAGCTTGGGCGATACCCTGCACACACAGTGAATCTCACCCCACTGGCCTTTCTTGGTCACTCCGTGGCTCACAGCAGGATGCCAGGCAGCTCCTTTTCGGTTGAGAATATTTGGAAACCAAAGTCTGCAATGCTGCCTCTTTTTTTGTTTTGTTTTGTTTTTCACCCTTTGACATTTTACTGAATGGGGTCCCAGCTCCCTGAATCTCTAGCAAGCTGAGAACTAGCACCCCCAACTTGGGGTGACAGCCCCAAGAGTGAAGTAGATTTAAAAGTGATGGTTTCAGGGGCCGGAGAGATAGTACAGTGGGTTGGGCACTTGCCTTGCATGTGGCTGGCCTGGAATAGCTCCCTGGCATTGCATATGCTCCCCTGAACCCTGTCAGGAGAGCATATGCAATGTGCTCCCTGAGCACAGATCCGAGAATGGCTCCTAAGAACCCCAGAGTGTGTCCCGTAAAACAAACAGCTAAAAAGAAAAAGATGCCTGCAAATCAGAAGAGGTTGCCAAGTTTTCAAACCCAAACAGCCACGTGCTGAGAATTTCTTCCTCTCACCATCGGGCCTCCTGCCGGAAGTCAGGAAGGTTCCCAAGACTCAGCCCACCAGCCCACTAGTGTTGGGAACAAGGGCCCCTGACCACCACAGATGCCCAAGAACTTGGCCAAATGCCGGTTTGAGCATAAATCCCACACCTGTCCCCGGGGGAGAGACTCACCTTCTTCAGCACCACAAACTCGTTCTCAGCCGAGGATCTGAGGCCCACCTCATCCTCATACCTGAGGGGAGAGCGCAGGGGAACAGTCTTGAGGCTGTGGCCATAGCTGGCTGGGACAGGGACACTCCGTGTGGCCTGCATGGAAGCCCAGCCCTTCCGGACTCTTAGTTTCCATCCCCAAAGAACCCACCAAAAGATTGAGTCTCTGCCTTGGGGTCTGAGTGTGGGCTGGAGTTGTGGCCACACGGGGTTGCACAGTCCCCTCCTTGCTCTCTGCTCCTGAGGCGCAACAGGGTGTCTGCAAACCTCTGCAGGATGACCGGAAGACAGAGCCTCCCAGGGGGCCTCCTTTCATGAGGGTTCCCTCCTGACCCTGCGCCTTCTGACCCTGCGCCCCAACAGCCAAGGGTGCCCAACCCTGGGATTAGCCCTTAGTGCCCAGACTTCTAGGCTCTGGGTGGGGATGGAGAGGCAGGGTGGGAGGAGCCCTCCATCGGGTGGGAGGAGCCCTCCATCACCTCCTCCTGACCTGGTACCTGTGGCCCACGAGTCTGGTCTTCAGCGCAGTCGTGCCTGGACAGGGTTCCCAGGGTAGGTTCTCACACTTCTTAATGAGGGTAATGGGGCAGCTATAAACTGAGCCCTGTAATTACCGCCTCCAGCCCCCCACCCCCACCCAGAGTGGGAGCAAGGCCTCTCTGTCGCGCCAAGGAAGCACCCCCACAGGAGTGGAACTGTCGCTGGGGCCACCTGATCTTCCGAGACCAGAATTTCCAGGTTTGTTTCCCATCAGACTTGGAGAGGGGGACCTCAAACTCCCCCACCCACTGTCTGGTCTGTCTGGGAAAGGGGGCAGAGGGACCGTGCGTAGAACGAATGTTCCACCAGCTGAGTCTAAACAACAGTTCTCCGTGGGCTCCAGAGTTTGCAGGGCAAGAAGCCGGGGGTTTCCCTGCAGCTTGTCAGAGAGTTAGCTGGGCTCACCAGCCCTCTGGAGCGGCACCAGCCACATCGGACACAAGACGCCTCTCCGGCATCTTTCTGTGTCCCAGCACAGAGGGTGCCCAAGTGCCCCTCTCAGCCCCCCATCTCGGAGCTCTGATGTCATCTCTTCCTCTTTGTCTCTGGGCTCACCTAGGTCCCAGATGTGGCTCCCCTCCCCACCAGCTCAGATGTTCTTCTCTCCCGACCTTTCCCCGGTTCCAACACTCACTCGCAGAGCTGGGAGTGGAAATGGAGCAGCCGACAAAACTGAAGCATCCGGGAGCCTGCAAGGGCCGTCCCCGCCAGCTGCCTTCCCTCCAGGAGAGTCGCCCAAACCGAGAGCAGCCCCCTCCCACAGCCGGCCCAGCCTCCGTCCCACACTCACTTCTTCTTGTAGCCCTCCAGTACCTCCTGCACGTGGTTGAGCTCGGAGGCCAGCTTCCCGCTGTCGGCCTCCACACGCTCGGCCTCCCGCCGGAGTGTCTCCCTGTAGCCCGAGAACAGCGGCTCCAGGTTGCTCTCGCAGCAGCGCTGGTTCTGGTAGAACTGCCACTTGGTCTCCAGCAGCTTGTTCTGCTGCTCCAGGAAGCGCACCTGGGCCCAGGGTTGGGGAGAGATTCAGGGGGAGCCTGCAGGTGCCTGGACCCTTGGCGCTCTCCCTGCCCTTGAAGACAGCCCTTTGATCCACAAAGCCTGCAACCTTGCCCTCAAGTTCAAATCCGAAGGTCAAGTTGGATCACAAACGTTCCTAAGCGCCTTCCCCTCACCCCATCTTCCAAAAACAGCACACGGGTTATTATCTTGCCATTCTGCACTGAATCCAATAACATCTGATCCTGCAGACTATGTAGTCAGCACTGCACTGCACTGTCCTCCCGTTGTTCATTGATTTGCTCGAGCGGGCACCAGTAACGTCTCACAACAAATTGTGAGACTTGTTGTTACTTTGTTTAGCATATCGAATACGCCACGGGGAGCTTTTGAGGCTCTGCCATGCAGGCGGGATACTCTCCATAGCTTGCCAGGCTCTGAGAGGGACAGAGGAATCGAACTCGGGTCAGCAGCGTGCAAGGCAAACGCCCTACCTGCTGTGCTATCGCTCCGCCCAATCTAGGTCTATACATACTCAAACTCATAAGAATTTTATGCACTGGGGTGGGAACTATGTAGCTAAAATTAAAAAAAAAAAAACCCTAATTCCTGGAACCTGAAACCCACATAAATAAGGAAAAGGGTCCTTGTACATGGTATGCCTTAGGGACCTGAAGGTCAGGAGGTTGTTCCCAATTATCCAGGTTACCTGGTACTCAAACCGGGGAAGCAGAAGGTGGAAGAGTGAGAGAGAAACTCAGCAGAAGAGCAGAGGAGAGGCCTGAAGCCCAGGCACCATTTGGCCTCTCCCATGGGTTTTGAAGACCGAGGGGGAAAGGACCATAAATCAAAGCCTGCAGAAGACTCCAAAAGCTCAGAATTACCGACTCCAGGTGCCAGCCAGGGCACCAGGCCCTCAATCCTGCAATCTTGGGGAACTTAGTTCTGCCCAGGTCCAATATGTCCCAGAAAACGGATCTCCCCAGAATCTCCCAAAAGTGATGCAGCCCTGCTGATCCCCTGCTTCCAACCTCATGAGATATTGAATTTGTGCTGTTGGTTGTTTGCTTGCTTTGGGCTCTTAGGTCACACCTGGTAGTGCTCTAGGGGGTGTGTTTGAGGGTCACTCCCGGCAGTGCTGAAGGGAGCGAGTGGTTCCAGGAATCAAACCCCGGCCTCCGGCCTACTCCAGCCCTTGACTGATCTCTCCAGCCCAAATTTGTATTGTTTTAAGCTGCCAAGCTTGTAGGCATTTTTATGGGTGATTTAAAATCACACTCACAATGACTGCCCCTCACTCTGACAGCAGGGGCGCAGATGGACAGGAAAGAGGCCCTGGACGTGGAATTGGAACTCACTGACCCCCTTTTGCCTTTGACCTGGCCCTGCTCCTCTCCACGTCTCCCATAAGCTGAGACAGTGACACCACACCAGCAATTGGCCTCTGGCCCTCGGGCATGTCTCTGCTGCCTGGGCACAGTTTCATACAAAGCAAAGGTGTTGCTAGCACAAGATGATTAAAATGGTTTCAGGCAAGACCCTAGATTTCCCTGACACTAACAAACCAGAAACTCGGAAATCTGGGCCCGACCCCTAGGGCCCTCTGTTTGGCATGACCATGTCACCTGCCCTCCTGCCACAGGAAAAGAAGCCCGAGAGAACGCAGCTCTCGACTCCCCCGAATCTGAGACAAGGAACCCAAACCCTGATTATCCAAAGGCACCTGCTTAAGTTTCTCCCGCAGTCTAGGTCGGGAGCAGAACTGGTATCTGCCTCCTTTGCAGCTACATGCCTCATCGGGGGAGCTTGCATGCCTGGAGCTCAGCGTCCTCCAAGGACTGACCAATACAGAGGCAGAGCGACATCCTTGGGAGGTGCCCAAAAACTACTTAGCAGCAAAACATCCTTGGAGTCTGAGTGCTCAGGGCTCTCACAGACTTTTGAGTAAATTAGGAAAAGGTGCCCTTCCTGGCAAATGCCACACCCTGCAGGGCACACAGGCAAGGGGCATTCCCCTGCACTCCCTCCGAAATACACACACACACACACACACACACACACACACACGGGGTTGGAGCAATAGCACAGCAGGTAGGGCGTTTGCCTTGCACGCGGCCGACCCAGGTTCGATTCCCAGCATCCCATATGGTCCCCTGAGCACCGCCAGGGGTGATTCCTGAATGCAGAGCCAGGAGAGACCACTGAGCATCGCCAGGGGTGACCCAAAAAGCAAAAAAAAAAAAAAAATACACACACACACACACACACACACACACACACACACCTTGGTGTAACTCATAATCCAGCAACACTGGGGAAGGATTCATAGTCTGGGCTGCCAGCAGTGTACTAAGAACAGAAGTATTACTTCATCACAGCACACATGTCTACTCCCGGTGGTCAGGCTTATCGAGAGCAAAGCCCCTCTCGCACTCCCAAGCTCCCTGAAGCCTTTACAGTCATGGGCTTGCATGCCATTCTCCTCTGAAAAAGTCATTTTTCTTGGAACTGGGGTGACAATACAGCAGGTAGGGCGTTTGCCTTGCATATGGCCAACTGGGATTGATTTCCTGACACCCCAAATGGTCCCCCGAGCACTACCGGGAGTGATTCCTAATAGAAATAAACCCGACACATAGTGTGGTGTGCCCCTCCCCTCAAAAAAAAAAAGTCAGAAAGGCCCAATTGTGGCCCATCAGTCTCCACACGCACCTCCCATCCAGATGCCCATTTGCACCCTCAGCATTCACTCGAGTCCACAGAGCAAAACTCAGCGACTGGCGAGTTTCCCGGCTTTACTCAGGCAGATTCCAAGAGCAGCGTTTGAAAGCCGAGACCCTGGCTGCCTGAGCACCAAGGCACCTGCTAATCCATAGCCAGACTGAGACTGAGAATCAGAATACAGCCCACCTCTGGGGTGCCTTGTCCCCAAGACCCTGTCAGAGCCCCCACCCCGGGTAAGAGCAACCCTCCACCCACCTTGTCGATGAAGGCGGCGAACTTGTTATTGAGGCTCTTGATCTGCTCCTTCTCCTCCTGCTTCACGCACTGGGCGTTGGGGTCGATCTCCAGGTTGAGGGGTGCCAGGAGGCTCTCGTTGACTGTCACGGTGGTGATGCAGGGGAAGGTAGGCCCACAGAGACCCCCTGCCCGGTAGCCAAAGCTGCCCCCCGTGCGGAGGGGCCACCCGCCACTCGCCGCAATTCGTGGGGACCCCAAGGCACAGAGGCTCCGACTACCAAAGCCCCCCAGGCGCCGGTAGCCAGGCCCCCCGGGACTGCCCCCGCGGTAGGTCATGGCACTGGCACAGCTGTGAGTGCCGGGCTTGGGCACCACAGCAGAGCAGGAGCTGAAGTTCCTGGAGTCATAGCCAGAGCTGACGCGGTAAGGACGGCTCGCCATGCTTGGCCCCGGACGCCGAGACTGAAGGGTCGGCTCTCCCTCGGGTGCTGTGGTGCTTTCCCCTTTTATGGGGTCAGCACAGCTCTCCCAACAACATAAAAGGCGGGAGAAAGTTATTAAGTGCGTTTTACAAGCATGGGAACCTCCCGCTAGGCAGAGCAAGAGGAGAGCTGAGACTTGCCTGGTTTAATAGGCTTAGCAAGGAGACCCCACGTAGCAATAAAACAGCCCCGGCAGAATCTCTTGACCCCATGCCAGGCGGTCTTCACCAGGGCCCCCTCGAAGGGGGGGCGGGTTGAGTTTCTCTCCCCACCACAAGCATACCCCAGCAGCCCAAAATCTCCAGAACCCAACTACAGCCATGCTCAAGGCCACTCCCCACATGCTTGGACGAGCCTCACACATGAAGCAGAGGAACCCAGGTGTGCGGGACCCATGGCTGAGATCTCCAAGCCTACTCTGCTCAGGACTGGGCCTCCTCCCCCCAGCTCCCCAGTTTTCCAGTAGCTTGGCAGTCACACCCACAAACTGCCCCCGGCACCATGTAATCTCATCAACAGCCAAGACCCAGAGACTATAAAATAAGGCTCCCGGAAGAGAGCAAAAGTGAACACGGCCAGAAGACCTCTTATACTCCAGCCCACTGATGGCCCTAAAGTAGCACACGTTTTCTTTGATTTTAAAACACTTGCTTGTATTCTCTTATATACGGGCTTACATGGCCCCAGAATGAAATACAACAACCCTCACACACACTTCCCTCTTACTGTGGTGGGAAGATGCTCACTGGTGGGGTGAGTGTTTGAATATTATCTGTGATGAACTATTGTGGACTACTTTATTAAAATAAAATGTGGCCACACACATGTTGATATGCTCTTCATAATCGATTTGCTCGAGTAAAGGCCCTCCCGTTGTTCATCGATTTGCTCGAGCGGGCCCAGTAACGTCTCCATTGGAGATTTTTTTTGTTACTGCATATCGAATACATCACGGGTGGCTTGCCAGGCTCTGCCGTGTGGGCGAGATACTCTCGTTAGCTTGCCGGGCTCTCCGAGAGGGGCGGAGGAATCGAACTCGGGTCAGCCATGTTGGCTGTGTGCAAGGCAAACGCCCTACCGCTGTGCTATCGCTCCAGCCCGCTCTTCATAATCAATATTAGAAAACAAATTTGTGGCAGGTCTGAATGTTGGGGAAAATTACAAATAACAGTGGTGGGTCTTTTGTCGTAGTATTGCATGTGATCAATGGAGAGAGAGAGAGAGAGAAAGAGAGAGAGAGAGTAAAGTGGAAATCTGCCACACAGGTGAGAGGTGGGGGGGGTATACTGGGGTTCTTAGTGGTGGAAAATGTGCACTGGTGAAGGGACGGGTGTTTGATCATTGTATGACCGACCAAGACTTAAGCTGAAAGGCTTTGTTACTGTTCTCACGGTGATTCAACAAATAAATTTTTTTTTTTAGATGAGTTTCTGGTAGGCAGCAGAATATTGGGTTCTGTCTCTGAGAATCCATTTTGTGACTTGGAGTCTCTTAATTGGTGAATTTAGACCACTGATGTTGAGAGCAACTGTTTTTATGGGGTTTTGTGTCATCTTTCTGTAAGGGTTTGTTGTGCTTGTATTGTCTTGTCTTTTTTTTTTTTAGTGAAAAACCATGAGGTACAGTTATAGGCTTACAAATTTTGTGCTTGGGTTTCAGTTATACAATGATCAAGTGCCCATCCCTCCACCAGTGCCCGTCATCCATCCCCACGGGTCCCAGCATCCCCCCCCCAACCCTCATCCCCACCCCCGTCCCATCCTGCCTCTGTCGCAGGGTATTCCCCCTTGTTCTCTCTCTCTCTTCTTTTGGGTACTGTGTTTTGCAAGAGAGGCATTGAGTGGCAATCATGTTTGGTCTATAGACTACTTTCAGCGTGATTCTCCCACCCTGGGAGGGTCCTCACAACACCCTTTATTTGGTGCTCTCTTCTCTATCTGAGTTTCCTTTTCACCTAGAGCCTGTGGCTGGCCTTCCATTCATGGAGCAAAATTCCTGGTACTAATCTCAGCCATTCCTGTGTGTTACTCTCCCTTTTTGTTGCTTTATGTTCCCCAGATGAATGCAATCTTTCTGTGTCTATCCCGCTCTTTCTGACTCATTTCGCTTAACATGATACTTTCCATGTAGTACCACTTGTATGTAAATTTCATAACTTCATCTTTTCTAACAGCTACATAGTACTCCATTGCGTAAATGTACCAAAGTTTCTTTAACCAGTCATCTGTTCTTGGGCACTCAGGTTTTTTCCAGATTCTGGCTATTGTAAAGAGTGCTGCAATGAACAAACAATTGCAGATGTTAAAAAAGCAAAAATAAATAAATAAATAATAACCCGCTGGAGCGATAGCACAGCGGGTAGGGCGTTCGCCTTACACGCGGCCAACATGGCCGACCCGAGTTCGATTCCTCCGCCCCTCTCGGAGAGCCCGGCAAGCTACCGAGAGTATTCGATATGCCAGACACAGTAACAACAAAGTCTCCAATGGAGACGTTACTGGGCCCGCTCGAGCAAAAAATAAAATAAAATGTATAAAAATCGCAAAAAACTAAAATTAAAAAAAATAAAAACAGACCTGCCCCTTGGACCTACAGGCCTGGGCAGAAGCCCCTACTTCCCCTGCAACTTCTGAGTGCACCAGGGTCAGCATGCTGGAGCCATATAACCAGAGGTAAGGCACTTTCTGAGCATGCGGCAGACCCGGGTTCGATCCCCAGCACCACATATGGTCCTCTGAGCCCTGCCACAGATGATCTCTTAGCACAGAGCCAGGAGTAAACCCTGAGCACCATCAGATGTGGCCCCAAGACTGGGAGAAAGAACAGAAACAAGAACAAAAGTCATGACATCTGTGAATACAAACTGGACATTGGAAGGAATGAAGGAATGGAGGACGATGAAGGATTAGAGCAAGGCACTGTGAGAGAATACTAGTGGCAGAAAGAACAAGGAAGATGTTTCTTTTTTTGTATAATTTTTTTTGCTTTTTTTTTTTTGGTTACATCCGGTGATGCTCAGGGGTTACTCCTGGCTCTGCACTCCGGAATCACCACTCCTCTTTGACAAAAGATGCACCATTATTGGTTGTAATTTCCCCCAACAATCAGAACTGCTAAAAAGGCATTGTGAAATAATTCGATTGGGTGTGAACCAATCGAGGGACCATATGGAATGCTGGGAATCGAAACTGGGTTCGCCACGTGCAAGGCAAACGCCCTACCCGCTATGCTATTGCTCCAGCCCCTGGAAGATGTTTCTTTTTAATCTGTTCCCTTTTTATTGATTGATTGATTGGTTTTGGGGGGTTGGACCATATCTGGTGATGAAAAATAATTACTGGTGAGAGGATGGGTGTTTGATCATTGTATGACCAAGACTTAAACCTAAAAGCTTTGTAACTTTTCTCACGGTGATTAAATAAATTAAAAAAAAATACAAGTCCAATGGTGTTGGAATATCTGTAACAAATCATCATGAACCACTCCATAAAACACAGTGTTTATATCAAGTGTTAGGATAAAATAAAATTTAAATTTAAAAAAATGCAAGACTTCCTACGGCGATTCATTTAAAAAAAATTATATTTTTTTAAAAAGGAAAAAAATGCAAGACTGTAAAGATAGTACAGTAGGTAGGATACTTGCCTTGCATGTGGCTAGTTGCTATTTGATCTTTGGCATCCCACATGGTCACCCGAGCCCACCAGCAGAGATTCCTGAGAGCAGAGCCAGGAGTAACCCCTGAGCACTGCTGGATGTGGCCCCAAACTAATAATAATAGCAGTAGCTGGGCTGGAAAGACCGTCATCTGTGATTCCTGAACACAGAACCAGAGTAAATCTTTAGCACAGCTGAATGTGGCCCCCAAACCAAAAATATATAATAGTAGTAGTAGAGGTAGTAGTGATAGCAGCAGCAGCTAACATCGCTGAGTTAGTTACTAGGAGCAAGGCACTAAGTTACTTTTCAGAAATGAACTAGATCTTCAGATCCAAGATGAATACGCTTATGCCCCAACAGCTTGACTTTGGAGGCTGGGCACTGCCGCAGCTGAGGAGCTGAGTGGCTCAGGACAGGATGCAAGTTTCCAGAGAGCTTGGGCTGTTGGAGCACTGCAAGCGCGCCAGAGAGCAGCCGCTCCTTCCCGACTGGTGTCAGGAAGCCCTTCCACTGCAGAGGTAAGAACATCAGCTGGCGGGACTGGAGCGATAGCACAGCGGGGAGGGCGTTTGCCTTGCATGCGGCCAACCTGGGTTCAATTCCCAGCATCCCATATGGTCCCCCGAGCACTGCCAGGAGTAATTTCCTGAGTGCAGAGCCAGGAGGAACCTTTGTGTATCGCCAGATATGACCCAAAAAGCAAAAAAAAAAAAAAAAAAAAAAAAAAAGAATATCAGCTGGCCTATCATTTCATCAAATAAAGATGACATTTCTGGGGTCCAAGATAGAGAATAAGGGTATCACACAGGCTTTATATGTATGAGACTCTGGGTTTAATCCTGAACACCAACAAGAACACCACCTTCCCCAGACAGGCAGGGCCATGTAAATAAGTTCTAAGCAACAGGTTGAAAAAAACATTCGTCGTGTGGTAAACTGGGAGGCTGCTCCAGTCTAGAGTATTTTGTTGTGGCAGTCTGAGCTACTTGAAATTTTTTCTAGTGGCCTACAGTGCAGATCTCATACGACACCGTGGCCCTCGGCTTATGCTGACATCGACCCCAGGTCAGGCTCCAGGGCAGCAGCATGTGGGGACAGGCAGGAGGCCAGGGAAGGAACACGGCAGTGCAAAGCGCTTTCACCGGCTCCGAACAAAGCGACCCCGTCTTCACCACCGCCAAAGTGTCCCAGATCCCACGACTCTGTGCTTACATCACCGCTAGTTCTCCTCTTTCTTCCTCCCTCCATCCCTTCCCCCACTGCTTAGCAATCTCAGTGCTGCAGCCAAGGACAAAACCT